ATTATTATTATTATTATTATTATTATTATTTTTATTTCCTGACTTTTTTTAGAGACAGAGAAGAAAAAACATCAACTTGTTGTTCCACTTATTTATGCATTCATTGGTTGTTTCTTATATGTGCCCTGACCAGGAATTAAATCCGCAACCTTGGCATATCAGGATGATGCTCTAACCAACTGAGCTACCTGACCAGAGCAAAGTTTTGCTTAGCTTCTGCTATTATAAGATATTGTAGTCAAACATGCTTTTGCTTTTGTTCGCCAGCTTTTGTGATTAATCATTTTGGGGACTACAGCAGCCATGTTGCTGCTCCCTTGCTGACAGCTCTTCCTGTCAAACGCTTGTTGTCCCTTCTCTCTCTGCTCATTTCCATAAGGACCTGGTGCCTCAGAACCCCAGACTGCTTTCTAGAGAGGGGAGCTGGGAAGATGGAAAACTCCAGAAATCTGCCCAACCTCTGAGTGAACACAGGAAGTGGCTCCAAAACTAGGCCTCCTCGTAGGTCTTTCTCTCCACAGGTACACAGTGGCAGGACCTCCTTGACCTTTCCTTTTTGTTTTCTGCTTTGTTTCTGCAGGATGTGGAGCCCCTGCAGGGCCCACCCCTAGACCAGATATTGCAAAGGCAACTGGACAGGTCCTGAGCTTCATTTGAACTCTGGGTTTGCTCAGTTGCAGCTGCATAGACCCTCTTCAGTAACAGACATGGCCTCGGGGCCAAATTGATTTGGTTATTAAGGAGACATTGTCAGTGATCACTCACCTCATCTTTGGTTCCTCCAAAAGAGGGTCTTGGCACAACTGATGTTTACCCAACTGACAGGGCCTTTCTGCATTTCAGCCATCCCAGCTTTTCTTGAAGATGGAGGTGGAGCTGCGTGCCTCCTGGATGAACAGCTCCCAGATAAACTGGTGCCAATTGCTCATCTACTGTGCAGTTTTGGGGGAGCAGCTATGGGACTGAGGCTATGGGTTCATGTACACATTAACTATGAGGAGTGTAGGGTACTACCAGCCCAGCTGGACTTTCCCCTGAGCTTCAGAACTTTCTAGCCAGCTGCCCACTCAACCCCAACACTTGGGTGTCCCTTTGGCCTCTCAAATGAAAGATCTCCACACCATTGCCCCCAAATCTCTGCTTCCCTGGAGCCTTCTCCTTCCCCAGTAAATGGTAGCTCTGTTCTCTCAGTCACTCAGGCCTCAGGCGCTCATTATTTTTTTTTTTTTGCATCCACATCATCTGTTGGAAAATCCTATTGCTACCACCTTCCAAAGACAGTCACAATCCAGCCATTTCTCATTACCTTCATGCCACCACTTTGGGCCATGCCACCATCATCTCTCCCTGGCATGACTGCCAAGCACCCACCCACCTTGGGCTCTTTATAGTTCATTCTCTTATTCATTATTTTCCCACTCCCCACATTAGACTATAAATTCTATGAGGGCAGGTGTTTTTCCCATTTGATTTACTTATATCTACAGCATCTAAAGCTGGGCCTAGAATATAGTAGATGCTCAATGAATATTAATAAATGAATGAATGCTTTGGGACCAGTCATTACCAGCTATCATTTATATCAATTTCTATAATTGTACAGGTGCTTAGATACATCTGTGGACAAGAAAGAGGTGTGACACAAAGGCCAGAACAAGTGGTGAATTCTACATGTGGGACAGAAAAATTCCTCTTCAGAGGGCAGACAAGTTGGGAGAAGAAGGCATTTGAGGCCAAATGCACAGAAGCAGGAAACTGCCTGGCACATTTGATGAATTGTAGATAGTACAGAGGGCAAAAGATAAATTTTTATATCTATTTTAAGAATGAGGATATGGAGACATGCAGTCATGCTACTAAGATGTGTCGGAGGTGGAACTCAGACCATGGCAGAGGGACCCACCAAAGGGTTTGTCAGGAAAGCGACAAAATCAGGTTTACATTCCATTCCATCAGCAGCGTGAAGAATAGATGGAGCAAAGTATCTTTTTATTTTTATTAATATATTTTATTGATTTTTTACAGAGAGGAAGGGAGAGGGATAGAGAGTTAGAAACATCGATGCGAGAGAAACATCGATCAGCTGCCTCCTGCACACCTCCTACTGGGGATGTGCCCACAACCAAGGTACATGCCCTTGACCGGAATCGAACCTGGGCCCTTTCAGTCCGCAGGCCACCGCTCTATCCACTGAGCCAAACCGGTTATGACGCAAAGTATCTTTTTAGCAAGGAGAGAATCCAGGGGAGAGAGGGCAGAGTCTCAAAGGGGAAGTAACTGGGTGTGGAGAGGAAAGAAGTCCCCTAGTAGACACTGGGTGTGAGTGGTTAGAAAAAAGAGGTGACTAGAGGAGTCCCAGGCTTCTGAATGGGATAATAGGTAGATGGTGGAGCCATTCAGTAGGCTAAGAAATAAAGAACAATCTGAGGAAAGAGATAATGAGTTTGGTTTTTTAAAAAACTTTTTAAATATATAACCTACATACATTTATTTAAGTACAATAGACATACAAAGGAGTCCAGGTAAGTGTACAACTCAATGAATTTTTACCATGAGACACACCCAAGTAACTAGCACTCAGATCAAGAAATAGAACATTACCAGACACCCTTTCTGGGCTTCCTACACGCCACTCCCTACCCCCAGTGTGACCAGGACCCTGTGCCTAGTGACATGGATTACTTTGGCCTGTTTTTGTGCATGCTAAATGGATTCATATGGTATGTTCACTTTAGCACCTGGCTTTACACTCAACATTGTGAGATGCAGCATATTGTGTGTAGATCATCCCTTTCATTGCAGTACAGTGTTCCACTGTGTGAATCTGCCACAGGCATCCATTCTACTCTTGATGGGTATATAAGTGTGTCCAGTTTGGAGTTATTATACATACTGCTGCTGTGAATAATCTAGTACATGTTTTTGCTTGTTGGAGAACATATATATGTATTTCTGGTGGGTAAATACTTGGGAGTGGAATTGCTGGTTCATAGGGCACATACATGACCAGCCTTGGTACAAATTACCAAGCACTTTTTCAAAGAGGTTAGACCAACTTATACCCTGTTGGCACCATATGAGAGTTCAGGTTGCTCCACGACCTTGCCAACACTTGGTTGTAGCCAGTTCTACATAGGAAGAGAAATTTACATGGAGATGTCCAGTAAGCCATTCAATGCAAGTGTTGGAATCTTGGATTTAGCAACATTGATGGAGGCGGGGAGGAAGCAAAGCTCTCAAGAGAGACTGAGGAGGATTATTCAGAATGGTGCCAGAAGCTGTAGGACGATGGGAGGGACTGACAGCACCCAACATTGTACCACGAAGACATAAGCTCAGTGTTGGAAAGAGTCCATCGAATGGGAAAGCAAGAAGTCATTGGTGATTGTCTTTGCCAGCACAGGGCTTGGCCTCCTGCCAAGATGGTACTCCCTAACCTTCATTGCTACCTGAGAGGGCCAGTTCTGCCCATAGCAGGTAGGCCAAAGAGTCTCTAGGAATGAATAACGAGAGGACGAGGGCCCAGGAGAGATAGCAGTTTGGTGATGCAGGTAAGGGGTGGTCCTGAATCTGTCCAGGCTAAAAGATATGCCCCAGCTGGAGTGGCTCAGTGGTTGAGCATTGACCTACGAACCAGGAATTCACAGTTCAATTCCCGGTCAAGGCACATGCCCAGGTGATGGGCTCAAGCCCCAGTGTGGGGCGTGCGGAAGGCAGCTGATCAATGATTCTCTTTCATCATTGATGTTTCTTTCTCGTTCTCTCCCTCTCTCTTTCTCTCTGAAATCAATAAAAATATATTTTAAAAAGAGATATGCTCCTTTGACTCACACTGCAGCCCGTGCATAGCCTGGTAGACCATTCACCATGTGCATCATCCTGTAGGTGGTCTTCTCCTGGGTTCTCAAGCCCCTGTGGGCAGAGAGTGAGGCTTCCATTTTAGAAGGCACCTGGCACAGTGCCAGTCCCACAGTGGACACGCAAAAGGGGTTTGTGGAATGGGTAAATATGTATTATTTAAATAGAGGCACAACTTGAAGAGGAGTTTTATAATTGTGATGAAAAAGATGAGACCATTCCTTTATTCTGTAAACAATCTGAAAGCATTTGGGGGTAATCAGATCTGATTTTTAGATAGGAAAGTGGTTAAGGAGGGACTTTTATTTCCTGCTGTCTACACTCGGGTTTTGTTTGAGATTTATATATATAGGCATGTGTTGCTTTTATAATCAGAAAAGAAATGAAGGTGTTTGTTTTGTTGAAAATGAGAAGTGGCGCTTTGGTCCTTTAAACAAGTGCTGTATAATGGAATCTTCTGCGGCGATGCAAGTGCTTTGTACTTGTGCTGTCCAGCGCAGTAGCCACTAATGACATGTGGCCAGTCCGGTAAGCACTTGAAATGGGGCCAGTGTGACTGAGGAATTTAATTTTTAATTTTATCAATGTTAGTTAAGTTCAATTCAAATAGCCACCAGAACCAATGGCTAGGCCGCAGTGATGGTGGACCTTTTGAGCTCGGCGTGTCAGCATTTTGAAAAACCCTAACTTAACTCTGGTGCCGTGTCACATATAGAAATTTTTTGATATTTGCAACCATAGTAAAACAAAGAATTATACTTTTGTTATTTATTTTATATATTTAAATGCCATTTAACAAAGAAAAATCAACCAAAAAAATGAGTTCGCATGTCACCTCTGACACGCGTGTCATAGGTTCGCCATCACTGGGCTAGGGCATTGAATAGTACAGCTTTAAACAATCAGTTTAAGAGGGGCTTTAACTTATATGTGACTTCATTTCACTTTTCCATGCAATGTATCATTTTGTTGAATTTCTCTTTCTTTTTTTTTTAACTTGATTTTTCCTCTCATCCTCTTGCTCAGCCACGCTGGGATTATCATCTACTGAGGTATGTTACACTAAGAAGGCTGGGATTTACTGTTTTTGAGGCTTTTCCTAGCCAAAAATAATGCATAGAGGTATGAATTCTTTCAATGTACTTTTAAAGATTTTTTTTTCTGGTTATGGCAATAGCACATTTTATCTGAGCAAGTTCCATGTTTCATTGAGAGAATGCAAATAAACCACGTCTTAATTCAGATGGTGTAATTTTGAATCCAGTACCTTTTAAAACTGGGTCCTCCAAACGGACATCCAGGGGATGTAAGGAGCCTGACCTTGGATTGGGTCACCCCAAACCCCTGAAGACAACTATAATGGGGTGAACGTTGCCCCTTACATGAGTGTGTCTGTGAGATTATTAACGGGTCACCAACAGTGCAGAAACTTGTTTATCTAGACCAGTGGTCGGCAAACTGCGGCTCGAGAGCCACATGCAGCTCTTTGGCCCCTTGAGTGAGGCTCTTCCTAAGCCTTAGGAGTACCCTAATTAAGTTAATAACAATGTACCTACCTATATAGTTTAAGTTTAAAAAATTTGGCTCTCAAAAGAAATTTCAATCGTTGTACTGTTGATATTTGGCTCTGTTGACTAATGAGTTTGCCGACCACTGATCTAGACTCACAGATGAGTGGCAACTGTGTGCATTAAGGCTGGATGAATGATTCAGTTGTGCTGTTGCAGTGTGAAAGCAGCTGTAGACAATAGTAATGATGAGCACGGTTTTTGAACACAAGCTTTTCCAGTAGTGCTGACCACAGTTACCTTTGACCCTGACTTTCCTGACACTCTGCCTCTCTGGCTTCCCACAGGATGAGGGCGAGGACCCCTGGTATCACAAAGTGTGCAAGTGTGATTGCCAAGGAGGTGCCAATACCCTGTGGTCTGCGGGCACCAACTCCTTAGACTGCATACCAGGTGAGTGAGTATCCCCTCTCCTTGGGGCACCAGACCCTTGGGTTGTCCTTGGGAACATCCTGTTTCTCCTTTCTTTCAACCCAGCTGAATTAAACCCCTGAATGCCACACTCTCGGTTTTCTCTAGTTGGCCTCTGAGCTTCAAATGTCACATGGCCACTGATCCACTAAACCAGTGGTTCTCAACCTTCTGGCCCTTTAAATACAGTTCCTCATGTTGTGACCCAACCATAAAATTATTTTCGTTGCTACTTCATAACTGTAATATTGCTACTGTTATGAATAGTAATGTAAATATCTGATATGCAGGATGGTCTTAGGTGACCCCTGTGAAAGGGTCGTTTGACCACCAAAGGGGTCACGACCTACAGGTTGAGAACCACTACACTAAACTGATCTGATGTCCTTCTTAAAGATGGAACCCTTTGAAAGAGATTAATGGATAATTAATTGAAATTAAATTAATGGTAGGTGGAAGGGAATTTTAAGAACAGCTTAGGCTTTTGAGCCAGAAAAATTAGAGTTGGAGTCCTGGCTGTGTCATTTATTAACTCTGGGACTCCCACTTTGCCCTATTTCTATCAAGCGGAGGCAACACTTTTATAGGAGAAAAATATGTTTCATTTTCCCCTGTTGCTAGTGGGAGTGGGATTCTTGGGGTACCTCTGGAAGGAGCATTTCTAGAGGGCCCCACGGGAGGATGAGATATGGTAGAAAACTTTATTTCCATGGAATTATACCCCTTTCCAAAGTCCCATTTCCCTTAGTCCAGTCATAGAAGAAGTTTAGCTGGTTTCAGTAGAGCAAAAATCAGAGCCAGTGTCCAGAATTTCCTTTCCACGTTGGAGCAGAGTCCAGTTCAGTAATGGACTTACAATCCATTATTCCATTTTGTGGGGGGTCCCATGGTTGTGGGCCATGTGGGCAAATGCAGGGAAGCAGGAGCAAAAGAGCCTCACAAGCCCAGAGTCACAGGAGTCCCAAGAGAGCCAAGAGGGGGAACTTATTTGTTTAGGAGATTATGTATCCCAAATCTTCGTGCCCTTGCAGTAGCCACACCCATTCTGGCTGACCAACTCTATCCCCAGGTGTGATTGACAGCAAGCACCTTCACTAGGCCCTCCAACTTTAGTGGGCATGCATCTATCTTCTCTTTGTTGGATCCTTGGGGAGTGTAAACTTGCAGCTTCCTGGTGTAGCTGCCCAAATGACATGCCTATAATATCTGGCCTTCCCTTTATTCCTTTCCTATCTATACTAATAAAAGGGTAATATGCTAATTAGACCAGATAGACCATGCATCTTCCGGATGTCCTTCCAGACAAAGCCGCGGCGGCTGCGAGGGCCGAGGAGGGCCTGCAGCTAGCAATGGCAGCAGCAGCAGGGTGATGGGGGCAGCACCTTCCCCTGATCAGCCCAGTCACCTCCTGCAGAGGGAGGCCAGAGGCAGCAGCAGCGGCGTGGTGATGGGGGTAGCGCCTTCACCTGATCGGCTTGGTTGCCTCCCACAGAATAAAAGGGTAATATGCTAATTAGACCAGATAGACCATGCATCTTCCGGATGTCCTTCCAGACAAAGCCGCGGCGGCTGCGAGGGCCGAGGAGGGCCTGCAGCTAGCAATGGCAGCAGCAGCAGGGTGATGGGGGCAGCACCTTCCCCTGATCAGCCCAGTCACCTCCTGCAGAGGGAGGCCAGAGGCAGCAGCAGCGGCGTGGTGATGGGGGTAGCGCCTTCACCTGATCGGCGGCCGGGGAGGGGGCCCCCCCCCCCCCCAGTGCATGAATTTTCGTGCACCAGGCCTCTAATCCTATATAACAAAAGGCTAATATGCAAATTGACCAAACAGCAGAATGATCGGTTGCTATAATACACATTGACCACCAGGGGGCAGACGCTCAACACAGAAGCTGTCCCTTGGTGGTTAGTGCGCTCCCATAGGGGGAGCACCTCTCAGCCAGAAGCCGGGCTCACAGCTGGTGAGTGCAGCGGCGGTGTCGGGAGCCTCTCTAGCCTCTGTGGCAGTGCTAAAAACCTCTCAGGGGGTCCCGGATTGTGAGAGGGCACACACCGGGCTGAGGGACCCCCCCCCCCCCTCAGTGCACGAATGTCATGCACTGGGCCTCCAGTTATTAATAACTAGTTACAATGGTATCAATGCTACTGTGCCTAGATAGCCATTGCTGACCAAACAGCAATGTACTTCCCCACATTCCAGCCCCCCCCCCCCACAATCAGAGGCTTCATATTAGCACTTCCCACCCAAGTGAGCAGTGTCCTTCCAAAGTGAGGCATTTAAGGGTCGCTGGTTCTCAACTCTCCAGCTCTCCATCTTCCTGCTTGAGAAAATGGCTTGTCCCTCAGCCTGGGTGCCCAGGAAATTCTGTGGAGCAGAACCCCTGCCCACCCACAATGGCTCAGTCACCTGAGTGAAAAATAAATCTTTGTTGTATTAACCCTCTGAAATTTCTGGACGGTTTGTTCTGCAGCATAACATGACCTTTCCTGACTAATGTGAATGCCTACCTTCCTCTTAGGCAGGGGCCAGCAAACTTTGTCTGTAAAGGACCAGACAATAAGTATTTACAGCTTTGTGGGTCGTGCCTTCTCAACTCCTCAATTCTGCCATTGTTGCTCATAAAGCATCCATAGACAACATGTAAATGCATGTGCATGGCTGTGTGCCAATAAAACTTTATTTACAAAACATGCAGTGCACAATATTTGGCCCAAGGGCCATAGTTTGTGGGCCCCTGCTCCAAGAAGTTGTTATGAGGAATAACTCGGATGAGGCATTACAGCACTTTATGCTGTACTTGGCAAATTGGAGCTCCTTTTCTTCCTGCCTTCTAAGAGCTCACACTCTGGCTTTCAGAGGCTGAGGTGGCCCGCAAATATTTGCAATGCTCAGTCCTTTCCAGGCTCAGAGCCTCTTTGGAATGAAACTGTCCTTGCCACCCCTCTCCAGGGTTACAGAGCGCCTGTAACGTCATCCACTTTACATAATCGCCTAATAATAGCTCCGGGAGAGACAGGTTTGTGTGTGTGCCTGTGAGCTTCTCTTCATTATTTCATTAAATTTGCATTAAAATAGCAAATTGTGGGGGAGAGAAGGAAGGAGTCTACAATGGCTTTTACTGCCTCCGTTTTCCTATTTACTAAGTCTTACAAGGGAACAGTGGGGTCCCTATAGTGAGGAAAGCAGTATGTGCTGTTTAGCTCAGTGGGCTTCTCCCACTGGACCAGAGCTCCTGCAGCCATTATGTGTTGGTATGATCTGCCCAGTCAATACTGATGCACCCTCATTAATAATCCGCCCCCTTTTATCATGTGCCTATTATGTGCCAGATACTGATGGGGAGACAAAAATGAAGGCATTGTCTCCATCCTGGAGGAGTTTACCATTTGTGAAAACAAATGTTCTCTTCACTAGAGACAGGAGGCTACTGGAATTCCATTCCGAGGAAGTTCTTTCTAAGAAGAAATTGAAAAGAGATTATTTATGCAGGTTGGATTCATTGACCTAATCAACTGTGAAGCTGAGGAGGGCCTTGTGTTTGAGGAATGTGAAGACAACCGGTCCCTAAAGCTATCTCCCCTACACAGTCATGAACTGGAAGTTCTGAAATCAGAAATTCTTTAGCTTACCTATTCTTTCCCCGCTGTTTTTGTTTGTTTTCTTTTGTTTTTTTATAACAACACAGATATTTCTAAGAAAGAAAACACACAACCTTGGTGTTAAATGCTTGATTCATTGGTGTTAATTAGCTTTTCCATGAAAGTCATGTTTCAGGGCAGCAGGACTACAAGCTTCCAGAAGTCAGTTGCCCATCAGTGCCTCAGATCCTTATTAGAACTTTGGTAATGATGTTGGAGTCTCTGGCCTCTATGATTCAAGGCTTTCTGCACACTCCGATTTTGGGAGGAAGAAGAGCCTAGAAAGCACAGGAGGACAGGAATGTCATTCATAGCTGCCAAAATGGAGCTCCCAGATGCACACTGGTTCTTACTGCCCAGGGGCCCCACCCATAGAGCAGAAGGCTAGGTGCATTGTGGCCTCCTAATTTTCATCTTAACACTATTAAAGATACTCAAAGGTCTGTCTTTTCCACCATTGAGTCAAGATTACCTGGGCACTCTGAGATGCAGGAATAGGGTAGGGAAGGTGTCAAAGTATAAGAAATCCAATGACTCAATGCTTTACATGTATTCCAGATTCTATATTTCTATATTATATTCAAATTTATATTCTATTCTTCTGTAAATATTCTTTTATATTCTACTACATTGTCAGAAATATTCAAGTCTAATACCCATGCATAATAATATTCACATCTTTCTTGACAAGAATGTCCCTCAGCTCTCTTTGTGTCCCTTTAGGTGAACATCTTTTATAAGCATGTCTGGCCTGAATGCCTACAGATTGAGAAATTATCTACTCAATAAGAAAAGCTAGTATGCTACATATTCATAGTCTGGATTAGCAGCACAATGTGAATATGCCTTTATCCATCTAAGTATCACATCAGTGCTCATAAGAGCCATTTGTGCCACAAACGATTCGGGTTTCTCCTTAAGAGTAAAATTAGTATAGACATAGGCCTCTGGGACTTCTGGGTCAGTTAATTTCTACTTTCTCCCTGAGCTCACTGCTTCCTGCTTCTGCAATTTTCTCTGCTTATTCCCAGTGGCCACCCAAGAGGGGGATGATGATGTTTATTCATCCATCCATCCTTCATCCATCCATCTGATCAATATCTATGCAGTGCCTACATGTGCAGGCATTCTGCAGGGCTCAGAGGACAGAATGGTGAGAAAGACCAACTGGGCTGCTGATGATTAAATAATCACAGGAAGAGGGACAAGTGACAGATGTAGAGTGCCTGGGAGTACCTAGAATCCTTTCCCTAGCTCAGGGTGGGCAGAGATCTGAAGGATGAGTAGAGGTGAAGGGGGAAAAGAGGGGGTAGGAATGTCATAGGCAGAGGGAACAGCCTCAAGGGAAGGCCTTCAGGCCTGCAGGAGGACCTGAAGGCAGCTCAGCCAGGACTATGGAAGGAGGAGGAGGAGGGCAAAGGAGGAGTCAGGAAAAATAATAAAGAAACTGTACTACAGTTCACTCCACAGCACAAAGAGCACAAGGAATGTTACATTTTCTATTTTACCAAGTTCAGATAATCCTAGTTTGAGTCCCCTCTTGTCATGGCCTGCGAAGAATCTAAAGAAAGGATTCTAGAAGGTCCTTTCTCTCCCCTTTGGACTACATGAACCCATACCACGGGCTTGCAAGGGCTGCCTGGGTCCAGGCTACGTAGTAGGCTCTCTGCCAGGCCCACAGCCCCACTCCAAGGTCAACAGCTTCCCCTCTGAACCAAACTCAGTCCTGGGGACCTTTCCAAGTTTCCTGAAGCTGTCCAGAGCTCAGGGCTCCCAGGCCCCATCCCTGGTCCAGCCTCATCAGAGGCAGCATTTCCAGGCTAAGCTCAGGCCCTTACCATGAGCCCCCACGACCTGACCTAACTTAGCAAGAATCAAAGCCCAGAGCTCCTGGCCATCTCCTCCTCTGGGAAAATCAGCTGATTCCTTTTGAGGCCTAGACCTTCCAAATCTATAAGCCTGGGAGATGCTATGTTGCCAACAGGCTTCTTTCTCAAGTCACACACACACACACACACACACACACACACACACACACACACACACAGAGATGTGCACATTGCTTATTCCATCCTGGGGCAAGGAGAGCCCAAACCTTTAGAAACATGAAGCTGGCCTCTTTCTTAGAGATGATGGGAGCAGGACAGTGTGGAATAGGGGGCTGTTAGATTTCTTCCTTAGAGACTCTTCATCAGAAAAACAAACACGCCAAACTCAAGAAGACATGACTATATTCTCACAATTTCATCCTATCCTACCAATATGAACTGCTGCTTTTGGCCAGGCACTATGGGCTTTACACTTTACAAACATTATTTCACATAATCCCACAGCAACTTTGTGGAGGCTGGTTCTACTGTTGTGTTCCTTTCATAGACAAGGAAACTGAAGCAGAGACATTAGCAGCTTGCCTAAACTCACAGAGGAAGAGTAGAATTCAATTCCAGGTTGCACTGGCTCTAAACCGGCAATCTTGACCTTGGCTGCCCATTACAATGACCTGCACTTTTACCCCATGCTCAGGTCCTGCCCCAGACCAATGACATCAGACTCTCTGGGGGTCTGGCCCAAACACCAGCACTTCTGCAACTCCCCAGGTGAATCACAGGCTGAGACCCATCAGAGAGTCTCTGCTCTGTGCCCTGGGCCAAACCACCCAGTTTCTGGGTTAGCAGCTGGGTAGTTGGAGGCACCAAAGGCTGAGACAGGAGCACTGGACAGCAGCAGGCTTGGGGCTTGCATGTTGAAGGGCTCAGTTTTGGCTATATGGATATGAAGTATCTTTGGGTCACACAGATGGAACTATTCACCTGGAAAATATTCATAGGGCCTGGGAGTCAGGCTTTGGCTCCCAGATGCCTGCTGAAACCATGGGAATGGTGAAATCATTGCTCCCCCTGGAGAGTGTGGGCAAGATCCATGTCTGGACAAGTCTTCACAGGCCTCCAAGGCCACTGCCTCTGGCCAGGTCCCTGCATGTCTACAGCCCACACTCTTAACTGTTAGATGGGTAATTGGGAAGAAATGGCAAAAGATATGAGGGGAAACAGAGAAAGATAAAAATGCTAAGAATAAAGTTCTTGGAGAGGTGGTGATGGCTTTTCCTTCCTCTCTGATCCCCCCCTCCAAGTTGGTGGCCCTGGAGTAAGAAAAGGGAGGTTTCTTCTGGATACAGGGGAGTTAGAGATATCCACAGTTAGAATTTAAGTAACCACAAAGGCCCAACTGAAAGCCAGCTTTCTAACACTGGAGCCTTGTCCCTCTATCTGGTGGCCCAAGTTTGTCTTCCTGGTTAGAGGCGGGTGGAGGAGGTGGAGGAGCCCTCAAGGCCATGGGCACTAGGCCCATGAATCCACCAGCCAACAAACTGCCTTCTATGGTAGGCTAAGGCTTCCACAGTGCACTTTGATAGTGTGCTTGTTAAAAATTGGCCACTCCGGGAGTGAAATCCTGGAAACTGCATTCTTAAGAAGATCCCTTGATGATTTGGCCACACAAGGCATGAGCGTGTAGCCCATAAAGCGTTCCTGTTCCCTCTCCCAGGAATTGACATTTTAATAGGCCCCTGAAGCCTTGGGTACTTGATCAACTACAAATGCTATACCTTCACCCCCAGCCCCACTGAGCTGCAGCTACTGGTGGGAGTTGGACCTATTTTTTTGGTGCATTGGGTAGAAAGGCTCTTACCCCCATCCCCCACCCCCAGGGGCTTAAAGCTGTTCTTTTGTCTACAGCCTCTGGAGGCAGGGCTGAAGATATTCTGGAGCCTCAGGATGGCAATCAAGCTTTTTCATGCTTCATTCAGTTTCACTGACTTCTGAAAATTATTCTCTAGAAAGAACTCAGCTCTCATTTACTATGTAAGATGATGATGCCCCAGGAAATATATTCAGCTCTTCAATATGAACCCAAACTTACACATGGAAAAATAATTTGATTTACCTTACTGAAGTTTATCACTCACAATCAGAAAACTAGGAGAATGTATTTGCATAAGCTTATTTATTTCCTACTAGTGACCTGGTGCACGGATTCGTGCACATTGAAAGGAAATTCATTAGAAGGTGGCCTGCTGGGCAGGACTGGGCAAGATGGGCTGGACATGCCCTGGAGCCAACCTCCCACTGGAGCCAGCCTCCCGCAGTCCCTCCCTCATCTGCCGCACCTGGGGTGGCACCGGGGCTCAAAGGGCATGTGCAGAGTGAGTGGGGTCCCTCCAGCAATTGGGGTCCCTTGGCCTGGCCTGTGGGGATCAGGCCAAAACCGGCTCTCAGACATCCCCTGAGGGGTCCCGGAGTGTGAGAGGGCACTCTGCAAAGTTGCTGTTGTACAGGGTGTGGAATGCAAACGCAAGTGTGCCGTAATCCAGATTTGGGGCCGATAGCGCCCCAGCAACAACATAACCTACGGCCGAAGGTGGAATCGCGCAGCCCTACAAGGAATTGGGCTCCCTCCTCTCTGGTTCTGGGGTGCATCACCCAAGAACCGCCACTGTCAAGTCACTGCAGCTTGGCAGCTCTTGCATTGAGCGTCTGCCCCCTGGTGGTCAGTGTGCGTCATACCTACCGGCTGGTCGGGCGGTCGCTTAGCCTTTTATATATATAGATAGGAATTCGGTAGAAACTGGGTTTGGTTATAAATAAGAGGCCCCCTAAATAGTGGGTTATTGAATTAGCTTTGTTTTGACTGACAGGGTAAAAAGACTAGGGGTAGGGATTTGCTTAAGGATAACAGGGCTGAGGTCTCTGACATTCTCTTGGCCTTACCCCATGGTGCAAGATGGCTACTGTTGCACCAGCCATTAAGTCTTGCTTCTAGGCAACAGTTAGAAAGAAGGGGCAAGCAAAACCTTACCAGAAATCCCTAGCAAACTTCCTTTTATATCTCACTGGTCAGAAATTGTATCACATGACTTCTAATTGCAAGAAAGGCTGAGAAAGATTATTTTTGTAGCTGGCTACATTGCTGTCCCCAACAAAATTAAGGTTCTTTAGTGAAAAAGAAGGGGATAATGGATACTTGGATGGCAATTGGCAGTCTCTGACCAGGTAAACCAACACTAAATGTGAGAGGAAAATACATGAGAAGCAGCAGATAATTAACATATAAGAACGCGCTTTGGCTATTCTTATTTGAGAAAAGCAGTTCCTTCCTACTGTTCTTTATTCGAAATTCACTCAAGCACATTTCACCTTTTTTCCCCCATTAGACTAGTGAGACAACTGCAATTTACAAGGGGGAACTCAGTCTCAATATATAATTGCCTTCCTGCCTCTCACCATTGTTTTTTTCCTTATAATTGCCATCATATGCTGCCCAAGGATAATTAGGGACCCTGATGTCATCAGACAGGATGGCTGATGTATTAACGAGGAAAATAAAGAGTATGGCATTTAAGTATGACATTTCGCTGCAAACCTCTTGGTTTTTAGGTCTGTATGTTTGTGAAGGAGGTGAAGTATTTCTCAAAACTACTCCCAACCACTGCCATGCTTTTACGAATGTCCTGAATCTCTATAGCAATTCCTTTACTTCATCTTCAGATGGGATGGTTTGATTTGTCATTTCGGTCTGTTTGTTGAGTATTGTAATGCAATCTGAATGTTTTGATGGGCATTGTTTTTCCTTTCCCAGAATGCCCCTATCATAAACCCCTGGGTTTCGAGTCAGGAGAGGTTACACCAGACCAGATCACCTGCTCCAACCCGGAGCAGTACATGGGCTGGTATTCGTCGTGGACTGCCAACAAGGCCCGGCTCAACAGTCAAGGTTTTGGGTAAGCAGGGCTGGCAGCTCAACTGATTTTTTATGTGATTTGAAAAAGTAGGTCTCTGTAATAAATGAGTGAAACAAAATGTATTTAGTTATTCAACAAACATTGATTGAATGCCACAGACTGTGGATAGAGCACTGAACAAGGTGGATGAGGTCCTGGCCTTTAAGAAGCACACAGTTTAGAGGGGGAGAGGGATTATAAGCACATAATCACACAAGTGATCACTTAGGAAGTGTGATGAGTGCTGTGGAGGAGACAGAAGAGAAACACCTGGTCCATTTGAAGCCCCAGGGAAGAGCTTTCTAAGGAAAATATATTTAACCTGTGACTTATAGTTGGCCAGGTGAGGGGGTGGGCACAGGATACAGCAGGTGTAAAGGCCATCAGTAAAGACCACTTAAGGGCATGGATAGGGACTGCAAAGAAGGCCAGCAAGGTTAGAGCACAGGCAAGGCAAAGTTGGAGAGGCAGACAGAAATCAGATCGTGTAGGTCCTTTTAAATCATGCTAAAGAGTGTGGTTCTCACTTTAGGGATAATGGGAGGATCCTGAATGCGCATTAGTTAGAATGCAGGTTTGTGCTGCTGTAACAAAGAACCCCAAAGTACAGAGACTTAGTGTAGAGGTGTGTCTCCTGCTCATCTAAAAGTTTCATTAGGCGGTCTAAGGTTCTTATGGCATCTGGGTGCTATCAGGGGTCCAGATTCTTTCTACCTTGTTGTTTTGTCATCTTTAACATGAAGCTTCCCATCTTGGAAGCTAGCTCCTCTAGCTTCCACTGTCACATCCACATTCTAGTCAATAGAGAGAAAAGGAGAGCAGAGCACACACACTTTTCCTTTAAGGATTCAGACAACCCTATTGGCCCCTTCTGCCCATATCCCATTGACCAAAATTTAGTCTGATGGCCCCACCTAGCTTCAAGAAATACTAAGAAATGTGATCTTTGGTGGCCATTTGCCCAGATAAAATTCAGGGGTTCTATTACCAAAGGGAGAGGGGAAGAGGCTATTGGGAGACAATTAGCAGACTAAGAGAAATTTGAAGTTGGGGAGTATCACAATCAGATTTGTGTTAAGAAAAATAATCTTCTGCCTGGCCGGTGTTGCTCAATGGTTGAGCATCAAACTATGAACCAGGAGGTCATGGTTCGATTCCCGGTCAGGGCACATGCCTGGGCTGCAGGCTTGATCTCCAGTGTGGGGCGTGTGGGAGGTGGCCGATCAATGATTCTCTCTCATCATTGATGTTTCTACCTCTCCATCTCCCTTCCTCTCTGAAATAAAAATATATTTTAAAAAAGAAAATAAAAAAAATCTTCTGGCTCCTGTAGGGAGAGCTGTGTAGTTTGGGGACAAGGGTAAGCCAGGGAGACTAATGAAGCTATGGTGGCAGTCCAGGCAACAATTGAGGGCTAGTGTGGTGGCAGAAAAATGGAGAGAAGTAAATGACTGACAAACACTTGGAGATGGAGCCGATAGATGGATTGGCTGTTTGAGGTGACAGAAAGGAAGGGGTCAAGGATGGCTCTCAGGTTGCTGGCATGAAGACCTGGAAAGACAGGGGTTGCATTCAGAGAGATGTATAGCACTGAAGGAGGGGTTCAGGTGGGGATAATTCATAACTCACTTTTGGACTTGTTTCATTTGAGATGCTCTGGCATCCGGGAGAGGTTGACTAGCTAGCAATTGGTTCTCAGGATTTGGAATTTAGAAAAGGTTTGGGGTGGAAGTAGAAAGTCAGAGCCACCTGAGGAGCAAGTCTGGAATTAGAAGAGAAAGCAACCAAGGACTGAGTTCTGAGAAGCTAATTAATACGCAATAAAAAGTGGGGGAGCTATAGGTTTCCACAATTTATGAGGGATAAAGCTAAAAAAACAAATCAGTTCCTCAAGGTTGGTTAGCTTGTAACTGTCAAAAGCCCTCCCAAAGCCACTCATCTCACTGTTCTGCACATCGTAGACACTCCCTAAAAGCCACGCATGACAGCACACGAAGGAGATGCAGATATGTATGAAGGGAGTGATGAGTGATATTAAAGAAAAACAAAAGATTCATGGTGAAAGAAACATCAGGAGAGACTAATGAAAAGGGAAGGGGGCTGATGGGTGCAATAACCATGCATTGAAGAAAGACATGCTCAACCACGCCCCAAAGATAATTTCAGCTCCATTTGAAGGCATTTCTTTGACAAATTAGTTGAATCTGACAATTTTTACTTGGGTGGTAGAGGTGCAAGGAGAAAGAGGATGTCACAGAGGCTGGGCACGTCTTGGAGACAAGCCTCTGGGTGCTTCACAGATTGTAGCTCAACCCAAGCTTAGCAGGAGAGGGGGCTCTTCAGGTGCTGACATCTCCTCAAAAGTCAATGTTTCCAGGCTCTTTGGAGGCACTCACAGGGAAAGCTCCTGCTGATTCTGTGTGTCCCTGGCAGGTGTGCCTGGCTCTCCAAGTTCCAGGACAGCAGCCAGTGGTTACAGATAGATCTGAAGGAGGTCAAGGTGATTTCAGGGATCCTCACCCAGGGTCGCTGTGACATCGATGAGTGGATGACCAAATACAGTGTGCAGTACAGGACCGATGAGAGCCTGAACTGGATTTACTATAAGGACCAGACCGGAAACAACCGGGTAAGTCAGGCCTACCCCAAATCACCTTAGCGCACACTCTCTGGGACTCTCTTCTTTGCTGTCTTCCTGTGTTCCCATCGCCGCCCTCTGTCAGAGCACTGACCCCAAGGCAGGTGTCTTTCTTGTTATATCCCTGGTGCCTAGATTGTCTGCAAATTAGTGTCACTCTTGCATGCAGAAGAAATCTTTGAATTCTCATACCATCATATAGTTGCTTGAATAATCAAAGCCAACTATCTGGGCTATTCCAAACTCATTGGATTGTTGAACACTTTGCTGCATAGGTCTGACATGATCCATTATTGATGCAGGTAGGTCCTGTTCCATTGATGTAGATATGGCTCCTCCTTACTACTGATTGAGACCTACAGCTGGGAAGCTCTGGACAACCCAGCAAGTTAGCCACTAAACTACAGTAATGTTTAAAACGACTCCAGCTATGCAGACGAAGAGGCCCTTAAACTTTTATATGCCACTAACCACTGAGCACCAAGACCCAACTCTTGTTCATCATAGACTGAACACAAGTCTATCTATCTACCTATCTATCTCTACCTATATCTATCTATCTATTTATCTATCTATAATGTATATTTATGAGAAACTAAAAATTTACTAGCTATTTGGAAATACTAACTGCCCTTTTGCCTGTGAGGACTTCTCCCAGTTAATTTGGACATTTAACCACATTAAATAGACATGTGCAGCTGAAAATCAGAAGGCTTTGTACTCTCTGATGCCAATTTGTATAGCAAGAACATTCATGGGTTGAGATTTTAAGGAGTTTGAACACAATAGGTAAAACCAGCTTGATACTTGGACATTTTGTTCCAATTTTGTTCTTATTGGCTTTTCAAAAAGATTTGGGAATTCTTTTCAAGCACTGTGCTTCTGAAGGCCTTGAGGTTCTTTGCAAAGTGCCCGTTGGGTACTTGTGCAATCTGGAAGAGCCTGTTCCATCCTCCCTCTGCACCTGGCTGCTGCCTTGAATAGGTTCAAGGGCAAATAGGGTAGATAAGGGGATGTGGGGCATTATTATTGGGAAGAAGGGTAAGATAATGCATATGAGGTCCTTCTTGTTTTGTGGATGGATGAGGTCAATTTTTTTCTGAAGATAATACCAGAAGGGAATGAAATGTTCTGGTGACATCGGGCAGAACACTATGACTCTGGAAAGATTGAAAAGAATAATTTCTTTGGAAATACAGCCAAACATCCACTGCACCTTTTATGCTTCACCCACCGCATCATGCCATATTATATCCTGAAAACCACAAAACAAACCCTTTATCTCTATTCTCTGGGCACTGCCCTCCTCCTTGCAAATCTTCCTTCTAGTTCGTTTTTTTCTTTTAAAAAACATTCCCAAGTGTAGAAAGTCCTTGCTATTTGTATCGATGTAGAGACACACCATTAAGCTTTAGCTCATGACTCACGACTGCAGAGCCAGCTCACAAGCTTTTACTTGAGTCCCACTTTGGATACCTTTGGAACATGGGAACATTCCTCTTGTGTGATGTGGGCCTTTTCAAAATTCTTGTCAAAATGCAAAGAATTAAAATGCAAAATCAAGAGGCAATTTTTAAAATAAGCGCCATCCAAACGAACTCTGTGAGATGATGGAAATGTTAATATCTGCACTGTCCAATATGACCTCCACTAACCATATCAGCTATTGAGCACTTGAGCTGCGCCTGGGTGCTATGATCGACGAAGTGAATTGCTATCTAATTTGAAGTCCTTTAAATTTAAAGAGCCACATGTAGCTACTGGCTACCATACTGGACAGTGTAGTTCTAGATGTCTCCAGACTCAGAGAGGTCTGGAGCGTATAGGTGCTAACAACCAGTCAAGATCAGATTTTGTGGGGCATCTGCAAATTCTCTGTACTTTAAGCACTTTCTGAGACTTTCCAGTTACATATTGGGGCCAGCTCCAGACAGGAATCAGTCTTCCTTTTCCCTCCCTGGCTGTGATGGAGACAGGATTTCACCCCTTTCTTTAGGTCTTCTATGGAAACTCGGACAGGACTTCCACAGTCCAGAACCTGCTGCGGCCGCCCATCATTTCCCGCTTCATCCGGCTGATCCCGCTGGGCTGGCACGTCCGAATTGCCATCAGGATGGAGCTGCTGGAATGCGCCAGCAAGTGTGCCTGACACCTGCGAGCTGGGCGCTTGCAGGGGTGAGGCGTGCAGAGTGGCCCACGGAGACCCTGACACACCCCTGTGACAAGCGAGGTGGCATTTTACAAGTTCTTTTCAATGCAGAGCTGGGTAGAGAATGTTTCTTTCTTTCCACTTTTTAAGATATAGTTTCCAATTTAAGTGAGAAAAAAAAAAGGAAAGAAAAATAAACATTCCCCACTCAGGGCCAAAGAAAATAAGAACAAAGAAAATGTCTCTAGAAACAATTTTCATACAAGAGCTTAAGTAGCAGGGGTAATTGGCTGCTATTTTTTTGTTTTGTTTTGTCACAGCAACACTGTGAAAGGTGGAGTCCCAAGGGAACACAAAGCAGCCCTGATCATTTGAAATTTCTTTTGCTTTATTCAAAACAGGAACATAATGTTTCATAAAGCCTGGCTTTGAATGCAAAGGAGGAGCAAGTGTGAGCTTTCTCTTAAGTTTTGATTAAATCATGACCATTGAGGACTGTAGAGCACCGGGGACACAGAGTGAAAGATTTCAGGGTGACTGGGCGGTGAGATGAGTCCAGTGGGTGTGAGCCTGTGCCCCAGTTTCCTGAGAGCCATACACGACCAAAGGCCCCAGGCAGAAGGGCGTCAGCTGCTGAGCTTTTACCCCCATGTTCACCGGGATTGGGGGGTTCCAGAGCTCCCATTACATACAGCCCATTCAGGCTGCACATGTAAGTAGCAGTTTCATTATACAGTGGGGCCTTGACTTACGAGTGTCCCAATTAACGAGTTTTTTGAGATACCAGCTGTCTCTCGGCCGATTTTTTGCATTGAGTTGATAGAGTAATTTGAGTTAATGAGCTCCTTAACGAGCTCGGTCTCGGAACGAATTAAACTCATAAGTCAAGGCCCCACTGTATATAGGAACGCCAAATGACCAGAACATACCAGAATTTCCCTTTATCTAGGGCTACTGTTTTCAACAAGCTTAACACTTTGAAAACAGTTGGCCCAGGAGCTATCATTGGCTACGTGGAAGAGGCCCATTAGCTGAGCCCATTACCTTTGTAGGAAGCAATCAGAACCTATGTCCTAAGAAGGGAGATGTGACTACACCCCTGGTGAGCCCACCTTCCAACTTCTGACACCTTGCCTTGCAACACACAAACCTGCCTGTTCCTGACTGCAACCTCCTTGGGAAGGAATGGGCGTGGCCTTCTTCTGGAGAAGCTCCTTAAGCAGGGAGTTTGGGGAAAGACAGTCTGAGACTCCCTTGTCATTTATAGCTCAGTCTGAGTTTTTGGGTTCTTCCCTGGGAAAGGCTAATGACATGGCAGGTGGGCAGGAGAGGATTTGAAAGGAGGAGATGAGAGGGGGTGGAATCAGAGAATGGGGCCCTTCAAAAAGACTGGGGAACCTGACTATCCTGGCCCTGATGCAGTACACCCTTTGCTAGCAGCTCATTTCTCCAAGTTACTGTTTTCAAATACCATGCTGAGTGACTGGACTCACACTAACATGATCCTAGACATCACATTCACCTTCTCTGTGAGTGAGCAGCCTCTTAAAATCCCCAATCTCTTCCCTGGTGTCATTGGGCTTAGAGGAGTTTCATATTTAACACAGCCTCTTTCTTCTCCTCATGCTGTATATTTGAACCTGGAAAAACACTCTTCCCTGCTCTATCTGCTCTCAAATCAATTTACGGTGGGGAAAAATCCTTCTCTGGTCTTAGAACACACAAATAAATGCATTTTGAACAGAACACCTGATTGGATATCCTAACTGGGAAAGTTGAATGAACTTTTATCATGACATGCACTGTCAGAGAAAAGTCTAAGTTCAGGCCCTTTACAACTGGCACTCTGGACCCAGGAGGTAAGTCGAGTCAAGATGAAAAAAGAATGAAATGGTGTGAGGCAGGAATAAAGGTTCTCCAAATAATTGTTCATGTTGAATATTTTTGTTTGGTAATATCTTTATTGAGATAAAGTTCACACACCATACAAATTTCACCCATTTAAAGTGTACAATTCAGTGACTTTTAGTATAGAGTTGAGAATCATGATCACAATCAATTAAAAAAATCATCACCCCCCCAAAAAAAACCCCACACCCATTAGCTATCACCCCACTAACCCACTTGCCCACTCCAGTCATAGGCAACCACTGATCTATTTCTGTCTCTACAGCCAATTCTGGACATTTCTTAGAAATTGAATCTTACACAATATGTGGTCTTTTCTGTCTGGATTCTTTCGCTTAGTGGTGTTTTCAAGGTTCGTTCATGTTGTAGCATATATCATATTTCATTCCTTTTTATGGCAGAATATCATTCCACTATAGAGGTAGACCACATTATATTATCTATTCATTCGTTGATGGACATTTGGATTATTTCCACGTTTTTTGGCTATTTACAAATAATGTTGCTACAATTGTGTACAAGTTTTTGTGTAGTCATGTTTTCATTTATCTTGGGTATATATACCTAGCAGGGGAACTGCTGGGTCATATGATAACCCTGTTTAAACTTCTGAGTAACCATCAGACAATTTTCCAAAGTGGTTATACCATTTTACACTCACACCAGCAGTCTATTAGGGTTCTAATTTCTCTACACTTGTTATTATCTGTCTTTTGGATTATAGCCACCCTGGGGAGTATGAAGTAGTATCTCATTGTGGTTTTGATTTGCATTTCCCCATGACTTATGATGCTAAGCATCTTTTCATGTGTTTACTGGCCTTTTGTACACTTCATTGGAAACATGTCAATTAAGATTCTTTGTCCATTTTAAATTCAGCTATCTTTTTGAATTGTAAGAGTTTTAAAATTTATTTTGGATACAATTCCCTTATTAGACATATGATCTGAAAATGTTTTCTCATATTCTGTGGATTGGCTTTTTATTTTCTTAATGGAGTCCTTTGAAACACACATTTTAAAATTTTGATGAAATCCAATTTATTTTTCTCTTTAGTTGCTTGTGCTTTGGAGTTTTATCTGGAAAACTATTGCCAAATCCATATCATAAAGATTTACTATGATTCCTTCCAGGAGTTTTATAGTTTTACCTCTTAAATTTAGATCTTTGATCCATTTTGAATTAATTTGTATATATGGTATGAAATAGAGGTCCAACTTCATTGTTTGCATCCTTATGCCAGCACCACACTGTTTTGATTATTGTAGCCCTTGTAGTAAGTTTTGAAATTAGACCATGTGAGTCCTCCAACTTTGTTCTTCTTCAAGATTGTTTTGATTATTCTAAGTCCCTTGACTTTCCATATCAATTTTAGGATCAACTTGTTTTCTACAAAGAAGTCAGCTGAGATTTCACAAGGGAAATTGTTCAATACTTCAGAATTTAATAAACAATGAGATACTGAAATCCGTAAAATGTTTATCTGCAGGTAATTTGTTTACAACAGCATATGATTTTTTACTTCATTGAATTCATGCCAGAATGTATAAAAATAAAACTTTTATTGAGGGACATCTGAAGCCTAGCAGAATTTTGCTACTAAACACATGTACTATGTTTGCAGCATTATTTCTTTTGTGGGGGAAACTTTCAATTAAAAAATATATAGTGTAGCAAAAACTCATTCTATTACCTTATGTTAACATGTTTACTTTTCTTTTCAGAAATGCTAGTGTAGTCTACACTTGTTGATTTTTTTTAAATTGTGGTAAAATATACAAAACATATTGCAGATTTAAAAACAGCTAAATTAAATGCTATGAACATAAAAAGTGGCAGTTACTTTTGCCAAGATAAAGAAAAAGGTCTGAACTGATTTGGGTATTCAGTGAGGGAGGAGGTCACTTGGACATAGCAAAGGTATTTCAAAATAAAAATGGCACTATGAATCTAGTCTCAGAACCTGGAAGATTGCACACCTAAAGTGAGCCTTTGAACAGACACTGCCAGAAGCCCACCTTTTTGACTACCTGCAATTGCTGAGGCCTGCTGACAAATGTACAGCTGTAAGGGCTGTTGTTTCCCCCAGGATCCAAGAGTAGCTCCAAACTATAAGTAACTTCAAGTCACAATGGTTCTTAACCTGGACAGTGTTACAGGGCTGATGTGAAGATCAAATAGGATAAATGCATCTGAAGTGCTTAATGAGCTCTCCATAGCTGGCAATCAAAATTCTGTGACATTCCTTTTCAACTTCATAGGGCTGCTAACTAGGGCACAAATACTAGCAACAATGTTGTAATACCTAACATTTATTGAGAATCTACCAAGTGCTTTGCAAAGTATCATCTCATCAAATCTTCAAAACAACCCTATGAGGTAGGTATCATTCTTATTATTTCCAATTAAAGATAAGGTAACTGAGGCATAGAAAAATTAAGTAATTTACTTAAAGCCGTACAAGATATAGGATTGCACTCAGGCAAGCAGACTCCAGATCCTGTGCTTTTAACCACTTAACCAGTCTCTGGACCTCTAGTGATGTATTTCAAAGAAATGTTATATTCTCAAATCAAATCAATTACCACCTGCTGGGAGATGGGAGGAAAGGTGGTACACGAATCACCAATGTCAGTTTCTATACATGGAGACACAGCAACCACACTATTTAGTAGTGATGAAGGACGGGCTTTACAGTGAACATACTAAGCTCTAAATCCTAGCTGGCTGACCTTGGGCAAGTTAATGTAAAGCCCACAGGCCTCAGTTTCATCATCTACAAAATGGGGATACAACCCATTTCATTGTGTTGCTGTGAAAAGTAAATGTAATTAATAAAAGCAAAACACTTGGCATTGTGCCCAGTCATAGTAATATGAAAATTAAAAAAAAAATTACAAGCCCCAGATACTCTTTATGTCTTGATAAAAAGTATAACTGAATCACTGGTTTCCATGACTTAAGGAGAAATCTAGAGCAAAGAAGTCGATGACAATGCTTATAAGAATGTCCTTTGTTTAGGAAGATAAAGAAAGTTGGAGAATAGTTAGATGTGTTATTTCAAAATTTAAGTTCTTTCCTCCCTGATTGAGCATTTACTCATTAGGTCTTCTTATCCTCAGAGACAAAAGTGCAGGCCAAGAACAGGTTACAGGTTAGTAAATTTGGCGCCTGGCCTGTTTTTGTAAATAATTTTACTGGAACACAGACACACCCATCATTTTCAAATGCTTTTTGCACTGCAATAGCAGAATTGAGTAGTAGAAACCCTATGGCTCACAGAGTCTCAAATATTTACTATTTGGGCCTTTATAGAAAAAGTTTGCCAACCCCCTGCTCTAAAACACAAAGAAACCCTTATTAAGTTCTCCATCTTTGCTTTCTCCATGGCACTGAGCAGGAGGCTGGCATCTCTTCCCATCCTCCAAGACCCACCAAGTGAACGACTAGGAACATGCAAAGGAGACAATACTCAAGTGTAAAAGAAACCAGTTTTCAAAATGCCAGAAGGGGAAAAAAGCTTTATAAATACAAAAAAAATTATCAACATCATTAAATAACAGGATTTGCCCTGCTTTACATTAATTTCGGTCCCTTAAACTGATTCCAACTTCAAAGGCCCATTTTCTCTCATTTGAATTCCAACAAGTTCTTTACAAAGAAGGAACTAATTGAAGAGCTTGCTTTTCAAACTCAAGGGACAACAGTTTTCAAGACTGGGATGGCCTGGCAATCATTTCAGTCAGTGCAAAATCTGCATTTTATTAAAGACATTTGGGAAGATCCATTCAAAAATACATTGTGCTCAGTAAAAATTAACCATTTCATGCTGATAATTTAGGTTACCACGGAATAGATATTTGTATAATATTTACAACAACAATAGAAATTTTACAGAAGTTTAGAATGGAATACATGCCAGAAAAAACTTGGTAAGATGTAGGAACACATGATACAAAGAGTTATATAAACATTTTACAAATGGTTCATAATTAGCTTGTGAGGAATTTAAATATTCAACACTTTAAATTCAGTTTGGATTCAAAAATTAAAAAGGTTAACACTACAGCACACCCTTGCCACAGTAAAAAGTATGGAATTACACTTTGCATTATGGATTTATAAAGTCTGTGCAATTAAGAATTTCCACTGATTCTTCAACTACCACAAATTTGGATGTTACATCAGTCTGACTTATACCTATTTTTGTTTTCATGCATGAGCAGGGTTCTCAAAGTTACCCTGCCCTGTGTCTTCCCAGATACCACCTTCAAACCTCCTAGAGATTGAAGAAGCTCGGAATAGTCTTCTAAGTATATACAGAATAACTACCTGAATTTAAAATGTCACAAAAGCAATTCCTGAAGATAGGAAGTAGGGGCCACTATTTTGTTTGGTTTAATTGTTTCTGTTAATCAATCCAAGTTTACAGTGAGAATTAACTTCCTGCATTCACAGCATTACCCCTCCAGCCTGACTCCATCAGTGCCCAAAGAGGAAACAAGGAGAGGGAAATAGACTGAGAGGACTATATATAACCAATCGTATATCTCTAGTGAAAATGGGTTTTGTACAAACGTTGCTTTCCACTATGGAAAACCTAAGCCATCATGGAGAACTTCAAAGTTCTCCAGAAGGAAAAGTATCTTTTTTTTTTCCTTGAACCTCTGAATGCTTTGCAACTGAAGCTTTTGACAACTCTGGCAATAAATACTTTAATCCCCCAACAGGGACAAAAGTCAAGGCATCTACCTTTTCTATTCCTGGGTTTCGTCTGATTAACCCTGAAGCAGAACACTAGGACAAACTTGTCTATGCCTGAAATGAAGCACATCAGGCTTTTGGGAAAGTACAATCCCAAACCAAAGGAAGTCCTGAGGAATTCTTAGCAGTCTGTCAAAATGGAGGGGATGGAGGAACAGATAAGGCCTCTTTCTCCCTGATACTCTGCGCTGGAAGAGTAACAAACAAGGCAACTTCTATTCTGCATACAACACAGAGACCGATTTTTTTCAGATTCCAAAGGAGGATCAAAATATGACCCAAGGATCAAATGGGGTTCAGAGAGCTTAACCTTGTCGGTAATGAAGGGTCTTAGAAGTGAAACTGGTTTCACTGACACAGCTCTCTGGCCCTAGAAATCCAACGTGCAACTATTACAATTTTTTTTCTGGCAAAACAAAAAGACAAGCCTCCCTCAAATTAGGGAGTAAACAGTTAATGAATGAAAATACAAGGCAGGTCGTGATCATATTTAATAGCCTATAGGAAAATACACAGAAAGGTGGGTCAGTGCCTGGAGTGAAAAAAGATATAGTCAGGACCAGGCCTAATGCTGATGAATTAACAAAGCACTATGGGAAATGAATATTCACGTAGTAACTGACTTGGCACAAAAGTCTATGATCTTTTATAGTACATTCAGTTAAAAAAGAAGAAATAGGGTAGATTAGGGCAGCAGGCCCAGTTTCCTAGCCACCTTACCTTCACCACATGTGTGTATACAGACGAGGGACTCGTCCTGTCACAGCTTCATTTTCTTGTATTTACTTATGGTTTCTAAGACAGATTTTTTTTATCCAGCTGAATCAGACCTCAAGATATCCTATATCTCAGCTGGTCAAGACACAAAGAAAAAAATCAGAACCACTTACAAGTTTTTGTTTTGTAAGTTGGCCCTTTAAGTCTCTGAGAGAACTTCCTTGTGAGATTCTGGCCCTGGGGATTAGCGACAGGACATCGTGTTTTCTGCTGCCCCCTTTAAAGAAACCATTTGTTTTTAACTGTAGATAAGTTTTCTCTGCCTACACACTTTATTTGTGATGAACTGAAGGAGGTAAGGAAATAATTCAGTATTTTCTGACTTGGTTCAGTGTATCATACCACATTCCCAGTTCATAAAAGCATGAGTCTGTGGATCTTAGTGCTCACATGGAGCTCAATATCCCACTATAATGCAGGAAGTAACGAACTTCTAGATATAAAAGCAGTGCTCTCCAGAAACAATGTTCTGATCAGGAGAGAATATGCAGATTTCTGAGTCCCAGCTGAGCTCTAGGAATAAGTCCCAATGAGCGACTGCCCTTGCTGAAAGTTGGGTCACCACCAGGACCTAGGTGAATAGAAATAAACAGCGCCTTCCACGCACTTGAAAAGTAATCCTCTGGCCTTTAAAAAAAGCTGTACACTTACGAGTCATTCTCAATACACAGCTAGAAGAAAATAAATGGCTTTTTTCCTTATTTACTCTAAAAACTAGTTTAAGAAGTGAGGATACTATGATGTTAACTAAGAGGAGCTGGGACTGGAAAATGGGATAGCATTTCCTAGAGAAGTCCACTAATTTTCAATTAGGAACATGCTAAACTGGCTAACTCTACAACCACAACAAACTTTATAATACATGAAGTGACTAGAAACTAACCAGCGTAGCTCTGAGCTTAGAATGAAAGTACAACTGCATATGGTGAGTTGTAAAGCTGGTTTGAAAACAGATTTGACCAAAGCGTACAGCACAAATACTCCTATAACAGCCATATCACAACCACCAATACAGAAATTTTTGCTTCTAATTGGTCTGTCATATGCCAATATTTGTAAAGAGCTATTAAATGACCTAAATGAAAAACAAAGACATTTTTTGGGGGGAGACACAGCTAAAAGCCATGGATACCTTTGAGCACTTGGTAAAAAACGTGCCAATCTATCTGCCAGGCTGCTGCTTACTTCTAACATAAGCATCATGGCTCTGTAAAAAAATTTCTAAGGACGCTGACCTAGAATTTAAGTTCTCAAATACCTATAAAGTAACTGTGGTCTCCTCCCAAAGGATACACCTTTTAGCAGGCCCAAGACAATGGGAACAAACAATAAGATTCCAGGGGTTTGAATATGGTAGAGTAGGATTCTCAACCTCAGCACTACTAACATTTAGGGCTGGATCACTTTGTTGTGGGGGGCTGTCCTGTGCATGTAGGACGTGTAGCAGCATCCCTGGCCTCTACTAACTACATGCCAGTAGCACCCCACCACACCAGTTATCATAACCACATATGAGCCAATTGCTGCCAGAAGGCAAAATCGGCCCTGATTGAGAACCCCTGCTGTAAAGCTCTCTTGAGCCCCTTAGTGCGGACTACTTTTGGTTCAGGGCTCTGGAGAGAGGCTAAACCTCAGATTGAGACCAAACAAGGTTCAGTAAAAGTTCATTTAGAACTTCTGAGAAGAAAAACGAGGATGGTGGTAAAGCAAAAGTAGAAAACCAGCAAAGCAGAGTTTCTTTTCAAAAGGAGATAAGTGATACTTCCATAAAACAAAGTAATTGATAAGCCTTCATTCAATCTTTTTATTCTTTAGGAAGTTAGGGCAGATAACAGAGCACAGATGCCATAAAAATTTCCCTTCCTAAAGAAAAATGCCAGCTTTTATGACTTTAAATCAAGTCCTTATCACGGATGGCAATCTCTGTGAGGTCCATAATTCATCAACACAGGAAAATAACAGTTAAAAGTTAAGAGAGGGCCCATTAGATTGGAGAGGAAATGACTATTCCCCTGTGCGAGTAGGAAAAGCATTATACATGCTAGAAATGCAGATTGTAGTTCACTTTACAACTCACTGAGGTCAATGAAAAGTCAAAATGGACAAAAGCTGAGAAGAGGATAAAAGAGCTACCTCAAAAACACGAGTTGAAAACACTGTAGATATTATCTGGCTCAAATCTGGGAATGTACGAAAAGTATGTATTGACTCTTCATCATTTAGGTTTACTTTTGCTCTAGGTAGAAGGCAATAATTCTAGCCCTTCTTTGAAGAACCATCAGGAATAGAAATGATCTGCAAACATCTGAGATCCCAGTGTTAGCAAGGATGAAAACATGGGAAACCAGCCGCTAGGTGACAACGAGCCTCCAATGCCGCACATGGCAATGTTGACTGCGCAGTCCTAAGCACACAGCACAGTGAGAAGTCTTTCCAGAGGAAAAAATGTAGTTTCTGGTTTGCAAGGGGGAATACAAGGTACAGATCTAGTATGAAAAAGAAGAGTTTCACACCCTTTTAGAGTCATTAGTATCCAGGCAAAACTGCTAAGGGTCCACATCACTTATATAACTGAGCAGCTGCCTGGGAAAAGCCAGAATTCAGAGCTACTTGAACAGTATTGAACTGGTGAAAGAAACAAGATATAAAAGGAACCAAAGAGCATGCAAACTATTAGTTTGAATCAAATTGTTTCAATGATAGTACCCAGTTGAGTTGCATTTTAGTGCCTATTACACTTATTAAATTAAATAAAAAGCACCTTAAAATGACCTCTATATATAATCAATACACATCATTATAGTAGTTATATAAAATGCAATATGCACACAATTTAAGCTTCAAAGAAACTAAGACATTTTCTTTATAATCTTCATAATCATCAGAACTATAATTCTCAAAATCGTGGGGGCGGGGGAACAGTAATAGCACATTTCAGTTACAGCTGACTTGATTCAGAGGCTGACACTCTCAGAATCCTGGGACAAGTACTAACTACCGAGACATTACCTCCTTGAGGGGTAGGAGGGGACCTTTAAAAATATTATTGCTAGGAGACTACTTCTAAAAATCTAATGCTCTTGATGGATGATGGTGTTGAGTGATTTCTGTCAAGGATGGCCCAGAGACATGGGGCTATGACCTTTGTTGGCCAAAGGCCTTGATGAAACTTGGGAGCAACTTGGGAGTTGGAGGAGATCAAATGAGAGAAAGATAATTCCTGTTCTGACCGTGTGTGGTGTGTGTGTGTGTGTGTGTGTGTGTGTGGGTGTGTGCGCGCGCGCGAGCGCTAACCTTGTTATATATGGACGGTCCCAGGAAGAAAAAGTGGGTATAGCAATTTCCTCTACATCTAGAATGGCTTCAGAAGCCTTTTAAATATCTCCTAAATATCTTGTAAAGAGCAGTAACAAAATAAGTATTTAGAAATAGAAATGCCACACATATACCTCCCCCCACCCCCCACCGAGTCTCTGGTACAGTGCACAGGATTTGGGAGCATAGAGCTGGTATGCCAGGTCGGCAGACAGGGGCCTCGTACAACCTTGCAACTAGGAATGTTCACTGGCAAATCTTTGGTCAATGCTCTACACTAATGCTAAGTAGAAGAGCCCATTCTCTCTACAAAGAACCATGAGTAAGCCTGGATCTATTCTCCCTCAGGTGCAAGGAATGTCCCTGGACATGAAGAGGAGCCAACTGTGTGAGGACAGAGACAAGGCCTGCCGGAGTTCTCACTGGCCTAGCCCACTTTCTTCCCCTGTGGGTTTGCAAGGAGATGCTGCGTCTCGTCTGCTACCAAGGAGCATGTCTAGAAGCTACTGCTGGGGCCTAAAAGTTGAGCAAGGTTCCTACTGTTACAGTCACATATAGCCACAATTCAACTCCCTTGATAAGAAGTATAATACTCACTTCATATTACAAATGTATAAAAATATGGCAGAGTGTCATAATGATACTTTCTTTAAATGATTATATTTATAAAACAGACACATATTTATCATATATATATTTATATATAGAATAAAGTACTCCTGATGCAATATATAAATGTTACTGTTTAGTTTTTATAGAAACTACTGTAGCTGTCCCACTGCTTCACAATGTTCCAAACAGCTCAAAATAACTTTACATGTAACATAAAAGGTATGATTATAACAGTACAATATTAATTAATTATAAATAAATGTTACAAATCCTATCAAATATGGAAGTTTAGAAAACAATTTAAGACATACAATTAGTTCATCTGCTAACCCTTCAAAGGGATACTCCTGGATTACAATAAACCCCACATTTAGTCTAGGCAGAAAAAAATCTGTGGTAAGGGCATCAGTCAACACGGATTTTTCTTTTCCTTGCAGTGCCAGAACACATCCTGGCTTTCCCAAGTTTAACAGGGATTGCACTACAGCTGAAATGTAGGGGAGAAACTGGCAAGAATGTCTTCTTCCTCAATGGCATACCCTATCCATGCTCACACAAGACCCATGGAGACTGGCAATCCCTAAGGAACTCCTGTGGCTCTAAGATCCCTGACTAGCATTTGTGGCCGTGAGGAGCCAGATGGCTCCTCACATACGATATTGCACACACCTTCATAAAGCTGAAAATACTGGCTTACCACTCTGGCCCAGCCCATTTCCCATCCCACCCTCCAACCCCTTCCCTCCCCTCCC